GGCCACGAAGTTTGACAGCTGTCTTAATCAGTAAGGGGAGAAGATTAATTTACCCAAATACCCTTCAGTGGGACCCGGGTTTGTTCGTGTTTCCTTAATTAAGTTCGGGTATAAAATGTTTGGATAAAGGGATACAATGTATTGACAAGTCAGCATGTGATTTTCTTGTATATTTTATCAATTATTAGCTATTTATTAAATAACCCCCTAGTGTCCTGTTGTTTCCATCTTTTTATATCTTTTGTAGAGTAGATTTTCAAAAAGTTATGTATTTTTTAAGAAACTTATAGTAAATTATTACGCCATAAAGTTCTTTAACTTAAATTGTGTTAGATTAATTTAAATTATCACGTACTTGAGATAAAATTTAAAGCATTTTACTACATGGACTCAAAATATAGGACTAACAGATGGGAGACAAGTGAGGTGTCCCCCTTATATTAAAATTGTTATTCACCCACAACATCCAATAAAATATTATTTTTATCTTCCAACTCATCTCATTTCATATCCTTTCTTATCTTTAAAAATAAACCAAACACAAGAAATGTGTCACATCATCCAACTCATCACATCTCATCTTATCCTATTTTTAAAAATCACACACATCATCCAATAATATTGTGACAACTCATCTCATCTCATTAAACCTTCATTTCCATCCATTTCCTAAAAAAAAACAAGAAATTGATTTCCTTAAGTATGTGTCACATCATCCAATAATATACCTCCAACTCATCTCATCTCATCTATTTTCTTATTTTTAAAAATGAACCAAACACAAACAACCTCAAAACATCATCCAATAATATACCTCCAATTCATTTCCTTATTTTTTTAACCAACCAAACAACCTATAACAATTTTTTAAAAAAAATCACTCACATCATCCAATAATAAAGTGACAACTCATCTCATCTCATTTCCTATTCTATAATTTTCTTCTTTTTTAAACCAACAAAACAACCTTAAAATAATTATTATAAGAAATAGGCTTCCTATTCTTTGATTTCCCAAATTTTTTTCCGAAACGAACAGCCCCTAAGTTGAGTACATCATTCACATCAAAACTCGCCACTAAGTTGAGTACATCACTCACATCAAAACTCAAAATAAACTTTTAAGCTCGGAACGTCCGAGAAGTTTCTTTTTGCCCTATATATACTAGTTTACTCGTATAGTCACCTCATATTTATCCTCTCTTTAGGATTATTGTATTTTTATATGACGATGATATGGATTGGTTTTGATATTTATTTTACTATTCTCTTCTTATTATAATCAACATTGCCATATGTGGTCGATATATAGTATCAGGCAATAGCAAGATGCGGTGAGCATTTATTTTGGTCAAAATTTAATTTAATGAATGATAGGTATAAGTTACTCTCAAGTGTTCTTTTTTATCAATCCATCTAATATACTAAAATAATATCTTGAAATGCCACTTGGCAGCTTGTTAGACCATTTGGCTACACTTGGCAACTTCTTAGACCATTTGGCTATTTATCTTCCATTTTACCAATTTTATAGCAGTTGACAAATGCTGGATAATTATGTTTATTAATCTTCCATATAACTAATGAGTAAACTTAATTTATTAGAGAAAACGCCCCTTTAAATTCTTAACGTTTTCCTCCTCATTCTTTCCATTTATTTTGCATTAATTAATATCATTGCGTTATATTAATATCATTAGAAATAATAACCAATTATAGCCCATTTATTTTGCATTAATTAATATCATTGCGTTATATTAATATCATTAGAAATAATAACCAATTATAGCCTTAATTACTATAATTTTCCTCTCAAACTGCGTTATATTAATATCATTAGAAATAATAACCAATTATAGCCTTAATTACTATAATTTTCCTCTCAAACCCGTTATATATCTCTCCTGAGCTCCTTCCATTCGCATCAAAGGTAAGAATCCTTGGCTCCTTCATTTCATTCAACTAGTATGGTGCACGTGCGATGCACGTGTATTAAGTTTCATGTTTATATGTAGCCCCAAAGTTCTTATTGATAATGAATGAAAAATAAATTGTGGTGCAAGAGGAGAAGGAGAAAGTAGATTTAGCAAGTGTGAAGAGGCGAACTGTTATTACTTTCCTATAGAAGGCTATGGAGAAGTTACAATATTAGAAACAAAATACATGTAGAATAAACTCTTTGTTCATCACACCTCCACACTCAATGTGAATGAACAATTCATAGAATACCACCTCACAAAAGTATTCTACTTCTCGTCCCACTCGTCGTTCTTATACGAAACCAACGTATCCACTATGTGTATCTGAACAACAAAAACGTGAAGGAAGAAGTTACGATATTAGAAACAAAATACATGTAGAATACGTCGATACATACTAACTCGAAGAGAAGCTATACCTTGGTGTCAAATGAATGTAGCTTAACCATCTGTGGATTTTGGATCAATTTGGCGTCACTCTCAATCCAGGTAAATGGGACTGCAACATCTTTGTCGTTGTAGGCTAACACGTCGAAGACACATTCAAATGCAAAGCAAATCTAAACCAAAAAAAAAATTGGGGGGAAAAAGTGTTTCAAAAAAAGATTAAAGCTGTTTACAGGGTTCATCAAGGCAAGGCAAGTAAGTGAGGCAAGAAACAATATGGCACATGATTGCTTGTATCTCCCTCATGATTTCCTTATCACTCTTTTCCCTGCTAACCCTGAAATAGTTTTTTCTTTCTCAGTATGAATTTTTGCAAATAAGAAATTATAAATTTGTAGCTCTTTCATCTCTAGATGAAGGAATGTTTTTTTCTTTTCAATTTTGTTTCATTAGTTAAGTAAAGCATGCATATGTAATTTTAGGGTATCTAGTGGCCTAACTTAAAATTTTCTCTGTGCTTTATAGATTTTAAGTAAAGCATGCATATGTAATTTTAGGGTATCTAGTGGCCTAACTTAAAATTTTCTCTGTGCTTTATAGATTTTTTCATATTTAGTCTACTGATGTCAATTTAGTTTGGAACTTAAAAATAAATGCTTTGAAAATAAGGGGTTAGAGATAAATGTATTTTCTTCTTTTTAAATCGAACCCTTGACGAACCATTTATTTTTACTTTTCTATTTTGTTTCATTATATAAAACATGCACATATAAAGCTAATAACATGTGTTAAAAAAATTTCTTTGCTGCTAACGTGGGTTGATAAATTAAAAGTGATAGCCTAATTTTTTCTCAATGTAGATCTAGATCAATAATTAGGTAATGAGAGGATAATTAGGTAATGAGAGGACAAATATGAGAGGTTTTTTCACTTATATCTATTCATACCATAAGTTAAGTTCGTGGTCACATTGGCACGATACCAAGTCAAGAATACTCTTATTACTAAATTGGCTATCACTTTTATTTTGAGCAATGATTTCAGGGATTGTAGTAAACAACGTTGTCATATAATAGAAAAATTATATGACCAATTCATATGATCAATGATTTCAGTGATAGCCTAATAGAAAATTTTATTTTGAGCAATGATTTCATGAATTTCACTAACAACATTATAAAATAAGAAGCTAAAACTGATGACCAATTCACCAATTTAAATCATTCTTTCTCAATCAAATCAATAGCAAAAGTCAATCTTAAACAACAAATCTAATTAAAATCTAATTCTAAACATAGATTAAAACAGATACTAATAAGACGAATAGATCTGGGACATTGAAAGGGGATTGGAAACTACCTTTCTATTTCTCTGCTCCATTTCTCTTAGGTCATGGCCATACCACCATCTCCTCTACCCCATGCTCTCTTCCCCTCCTCTATTCCTCATCAACTATCTTTATACCTTCATCTCGTTGTTCATCTCCTCTAGTCGAGATCATCATGAACCAACGAATAGGATTTCTAATTCAGAAATCGATTGTCTCACATGTCATCTACCTTCTAATCATGATGCCCATTATTTAAGTATTGTGTGAAGAAAGCTTATTTGATATTGGAAATTTTTATAGAGCAAGAGGGCTCTTGATTTCATAACTTGTTTTCCATTAATTCTTAATGAAAAGCACCCACTAACATTGGTCATTAATCCTCATAAAGAAAAAACACTCAATAATTCTAGCATTAATTCATAAAATGTTAATGATGAATAATGACAATGAATTTGGTAAGTGGTTTTTTTATCTACATTTAATATCAAAATTTTAGTATGACTTAGTTATATTTAACTATATTAAATAAATAATAGTTAAATTTTAATTGTATTTGTTTCGATAATAATACTAACATTTTCATGAAGAATAGAATTTTGTTTGAGAAATTTGGTGAAATTTAATGCTAATTATATTTTTATTGAGTAGATGAATAAGTGCAAAGATGAAGTTAATGGCAATAAGTGACAATTAATAAGAACCAGAATGTGAGAAGTTGTGTATGAGTTGAAAAACTTGTATTTAACGTCGTCCCCACTCAAGTTAACTGCTCACCCTTAATTGGCAGCCACGAAAACTCCCATGTATACATATATATCTAAGTATACTAAATGTCATATGCATTTAATTAATAATTACATAAGGCTATGTTTTTGAGAAACATATGTACTTTCATATGTACATAATAACGTTATTTTCTTGTATGGTTTCATGACCAAAAGAAAGTTTATGTAATTAAATCCTAGAATTACGTATTTTTGGTTTATTAATAATAACGTTCCATCTCTTGCATGGTTTATTAATAAAAACATTATTAATATAACTATGTATATTTATGTAATACATAATTATGTTCCATAAATAAATTGTAACATAATTATGGTTATAAATAAATAGAAGAACAGCAAGCGTTAACTATAAATAAATTGTAACATAATTATGCATGTATCAATTAATAAAGCGTCATTAAGTTATGGTTTATGCATGTATCTATATGTTTTATTATGTATGTGTTATGTTTTGTATGTATGTGTTTTAACATAAATTTGATTGTCTTATGTATGTGTTATGTTATGTATGTATATGGTTTAGCATAAATTTGAGGGCACTTTGGGAAGAAATGTTTTAACATACCAACACACTTTTATAATAGTATTAGATATTACTAAAATATTAGTTTTTTTTTCTTATGTCTAATTTTTAATTTCTAATTTGGTTTCGTTCGGACAGATTTTTTTTAGTTGAAGAAACCACGACTGATGATCTCCTCCCTCAATTTGAAGGATACCGAAAGATCGTGTATATATTTATTATCGTGGATTTGTAGTATTGATTATACTCAAAGATGCCTTCTTTATAGGCCTTTTGATGATTTTTCACAATTTGTTCCTTTTTTTTTTCCTTTTATATTGATGAGCATTTGCATTTGTGAGGTAAAGTATGTCACAGTCCACAGATCATAAAATTGTTTGGAAACTTGACAGACATTTTTTATTTTTATTTTTTTTTCTTGATATTTATTTAGTTATTGTTAGTTTCTGAAATTTAAATTGTTGATCTATTTTTAGAATAATGAATATGGGTCGTGGGGTTGTGCTAGTGAGCTTTAAGCTTTGGCCCACAGGATTTTGCTCAAATCTTGGGGGTACCAAGGCCTCCCCTCGACCCTTAGAAGCTCCACCAATGCTTTCGTTAGGGGGGTTATTGGTTGGGATATTTTGGGGGATAATGAGATAATTTTGGGGATTCTATTTCAAAGTGTTATTCATTAGGACAATGGAACAATGATAATAGCTTTTTGTGTTATTGGTTTTTTGGAACACTAGTGAGACAATTATATCACTTGGGATAAAATTACCCCACTCATATACAAAAATTTTATCCCAATAGTAAAAATTTACCCCATCCTCCATATTGGAACAATGTTGTTCCACTTTGAAGGCAATTGGGATAATTTTAAAATATTTTTTGTTTACTTAACTAATACATGATATTATTGTAATTATCATGTAATATATATATGTTATATTATATTTTAATTTTAATATAAAATTTTAAAAAATATTACATTGAATAAAGTAAAATATTATAATATTTTATAAAGTACATTATATCCTATGATACTATATTATAATTTAAATAATATATTATTAAAGTATTATATTATATATATTATTCATATATTATATCAATTATTATATAATGTAGCATACTAATATAATGTTAATTAGTAATTATTGTATAACATATTATATTTTTGTATAAATAAAATAATGTATTATATTAAATATTATATTATTAAAATATTATATTAAATATATTGATATTATATTATATTAATTATTATATATAGTATAGCATGCTAATATAATATAATATAATACAATATAATAATTAATAATAGTAATTTGTAAGTATAGTACAATATATTATATTTTAATATAAAGTAAAATAATATTTATATTATAATAATATACTAAATAATATACTAAACCAATTGGATAAGTTAATTTAGAAGTAATTAATAGTTAAAATTATTTTTTAATAAGGTGTTACATCATCAATTATCTCACATGAATTGTCAAATCAAAGACTCAAATTATCTCATTATCCCACTTTACCCCACTCAAAATATCCCAAAGAGGTAAAATTGTTCCATTGGAACAATTTTTCCACTTTGCCCCAATTTGTCCCAACCAATAACCCCCTTAGGGGGGGTTAGTCACCTAGAACTTAAAATTAGAACTGGGATAATCTGTGAGATAAAATTTTAAGGTGTTAGTCACATAGAACTAAACCTAGAACAAAATTTTAAGGTGTTAGTCACATAGAACTAAAACTAGAATAAAATTTTACAGTGTTAGTCAAGCAGAACTTTAACAAAACTAGAATTGGGATAATTGTACAAAATTATCCCACTTTTTTTATTTTTCTATACAAAAATGAGAGTTCTAGTCTCTCAAATTATTCCAAGTTTTAGCTTGGAACTATGTGGTAAAAAACTAGAACTCGTATTTATTTTGTTATTTTTTATTTTTTTTCTTTACTTATTTCTTATTATGGTTATCACCATCATTAAACCATCATCATAATAATAATTGTCAATATCTTATAGTCTAACCAAAAGTTATTTAATAGTAACGAACATTCTTGTAAGCAATTATCAATTAATAATAGTAAGTTTAAAATACATAAATAGTATTTATATATTCAAAATGTATAAATATATACTTCATTATTATAAAAATTTATCCCACGTTATTTTATCAAAATATCCTGCTTCACAAAATTGTCCCTAGTTATCCCACTAAAATATCCCACTAGCGAAATATTATTCCACTTTAACAATTATCCCATTTTGCATGAAAATATCCCAATTGACTAACACTTTAGAGTTAGAGTTTAGGCACAGTAAATTGGATTATATTTTATATGGTTATGGTTGATGATTTTGTGCCTTAGGTTGGATATGAGTGCATATTCATCTATGACTTAAAATAACAAAACTTATTCCAAAACATCCCATCTAAATTGTATAGTCTCTCATAACATAAAGTACATAATTATAACATAAGTGCATAGTATTAGAATTGCTTTTATTATTGAGATGCATATTTTTCTTTCTATAGACTAAATAGAAGATAAATTATGTCATTTATTTCTATATCACTTTCTAACATGGTATTTTGAGTATAGCAATTTATTCAATGAATTAGAAAAATCTATGTGTGATAACATTATGCTCAATTTTTGTAATTTAATTCCAGTTGGCAAGTTAGAAATAACCCGCAGCATCGCGCGGGTATTAACACTAGTAAATTATATATAGCATATTCCATCTATACCAGGTATTACATTGTCAAATTATAAACAGTAAGCGACTTAAAAATCAAAATAGTTTGAGACAAGTAAATGATGAGACTATAAAAGTTCCTAATCTTTACTTGAAAAGATGTGTCCATGTTATCCATGCAAACATTTCTCTTGCCCTTAACTTTAGATAGTTCCACTATGGCCTTGTCCACTAATTCATATAACATTTTTGATACAATTTTCAGTCTTTGGAAGAAATTTCAATTTTTGACGTATGAATTTATCTGCTCATTTTAGATTTTGTTGGACTGGTAGGTCTGAAAAAGGAAGTGAAAATTTGGCCCATCTATAATTTATCTAAGGCTACATTATAATTTTAGCTTTGAAAAAAAAACCTAGCTCGAGATGCAAATTTCGAATAGTAAATCAAAATTTTGAAGAATTCTTCACAGAAGTTGTCTATAATTCCACAACCCTTCCTCATTGTCTCAAACTGTATAGGGTATATACATTTGTACTCAGTTTTCATAAGACCAAGTAGGGTACAAGACATCAAATAAACCATCCAAGATTAGGGTACAAGACATCAATGCCCATTTCATCTTCCTCATATAATATAGACGTAACAATTATGCCATAAAGATTAGAAGCAATATTTCCTTCCTATTTCTTATAGACTGCAAAAGAGTGCGGGATTATCGAAAAGATTTTCTTTATGTAACTAACACAAATTACTACAGGTCTAAAATAAACTGTGCGCTTCTCGCTTCATGATTCGACAAGGCATTCTTTCCTTCTCGCACAATATAAACCTTACCCCCTCATAATATTCGCATCTGTATCCGAAATATCCGAATACATATTAGTCATACTCTTACAATAGTTTCGATTCTTAGATTATGGATTTATGTTTAATTTTGATTATCAAGATGTCTAATCTTAACTTTTTAGTTATAATGAACATATTAACAAACTCTTTTGTATCGCATGAACTATGTTTTTCTTAATACTATCTAGTTTTCTCATATCCATTTTGTATCTGCATGCATATCCGCTTATATATCCGCATTTATATCTGTTACCGTATCCGATTTTAGCGGATATGGATATGAATTTTCCTTACCGATGTATATTCGTAGACGTACCCGTATCCGAGATGGGTAAGCGGATATGGATATGGTAAGCATCATATCCGAGCTATATCCGGACCCAAAACGCACCCCTACTCACAAACCAAAAGCACTTGTACAGGACTAGAACTTCGTTTCCTTTATAGAGCTCCTATATTACAATCAAAGAATTCTACAAACATAGTAATGTGAAATTGAACAATAAAAAGAAAATAATTTACCTTTTATCCTGAGTATTTTTTTCGCTTCATATGTGTGCCGTGAGATTCGTCACTAAATAAGCTGTCAAAGATCGGCAAGGGGGAGGTTTCCATCGCAGGAAATAACATGCTGAATAAATTGTGACAAAAGTGAGCATAATAAACTCACAATCTCATCTTTTACCAGAACTCCGAAGTTTTGGTATAGAGAAAGGGACTTTTAGATGTTAGAAGAGCAACCTAACAATCTATATTAGTGTATAGAAATAGAACCGTCCACGCTCACCACAACTTCGGATTCTGGTGCATAATTAAGCTAACAGAACTATACCTATGCAATCAATCTGAGACACCAGTTGGGTTGATATACTCGATGTCGGCGGAGTCATTGCAGAGTTATACCTCGGATAACTCTTTCAACTTGATCATTTATACTTTTCTTCCTTTCTCATGCAAAATGCTTCATTCTTCCATCATCCCTAACTCACTCTCAGACCAAACCTTTTCCCATGGTCCTCCTTTGGTTCCTAGCCTGAAAATGGAAATATCTTCTTTTTAGTTTGAATTCTGCAACAAAGATGTAATAATCAAGAGATTGTGAGAATTATTTTTTTTTACCTCCAAAACCCAGCGGCTGCCCTCAAGCTCATAAACAGGAACAATCCTGACCAAACTCCAGCAAGCCCAAACACAGGTGACGCAATTAGAAGAAATAACGATGAAACTAACCCCACCAAAGCCTGTTATGAGATTTCACAGCGATGATAAAGATAATCTTTGAAGAAGGAAATGAGATGATGAGAGAGGAAAAGATGAGAGAGGAAACAAACCATGGAATATGCAGCAAATGCGAAGTCTGAGACACCATAGTAAAGCCCATCAAGCACAAAAGCAATGGCATTGATGGGTTGAGATGCTGTGACAAACTGCACAAGATTTTGTTGAAGTCAATAACGAAGCCTCAGCTTAAAATAGACAATATCATATAGTTAACGTTACCAAGATTCCAGATCGAGCAATGTTGAGAACTGCCGAGTCTGTGGTAAATATGGTAGAAAAAGATTCAAACCCAAAGTACAATAGAATAGCCAAAACAATGCCAGTGGCTGCTCCTATCTGGTCAAAATTTCAACAATAATATAGTAAAAGTTTAGTAGCCAGATGATGGAAAATTAGAAACAGGATTTTCCAAATAGCTATTTACCTGTAGAACTCTCTGTGCTATTTGGTGAGCTTGTTTATAATTACCTTTGCTGTATTCACTAGCAAGTAAAGCCTGTGAAAGATATGTACAAGTAAGATAAGAGCACAAAATTGGATCCTTTTGATTGCTGACGTGCATTGGAATAATAATTACAAAGATAGAAATACTAAATTCTTCTAGGTAAGATACAGAATGAGAACAGATTACAACAAAGAGAATATGCTCCAATCTCACCATCTAAACCAACAAAAGACCCAATAAAACAACTAAGGTGAAGTAAAGAGAAGAGAGTATTTCACTTTTTCAACAACTCTCTTTCTCTTGCTCTTGTTCGCTCATGTTCTCTCCATCATTCCTAAGCACCCCCTTTATAGTGAATCTAACCTATTGAAAAGCCATCATTTTTTACATGGATTCACAAACAAACAAATAGATAGATGAAATAGAAAGCTAGTGGTTCATCAAACAGTAGGCTTATCTAATTAAGAATGGAAACTCCAAATTTGATTCGTCTTTTTTAATATTCAACTGAGAATAGGAAAAGCTTAAAATATAACCTGACCAGCAAGAGCTAAAGCATCATTGAGCAGGGAGACTGCCAACCAAACTTGCAAGCAAATCTGATGGCCAGCCATGGGAACCGGGCCTTCTCTTGCGGCCATGGATGTTGACAAGGTCATTGTCAGAAGAACTGCCATTGTTCTTCCAATCAAGAGGCCACCTATGAAGAAATAGAATTGAGAAAACTCTTACATAATAGTTTGTTTATGTGATTATGTATTCCTCATTTTGAGAATTTTTACTCAAGGCTTAACACAATTTTGATGAAGAGAAAAAGCCATTTATCGGAGGATAGCTTTCATTGGAATTGCTGTTTTTTGTCACAAAAAAAGGTTCTAAAGTAATCACACAAAGCCAGAAAAGAAATATTCCACACATAATTTAGATCGCGAAAAAAAATCATATATCACTTACCAGATTTCAGATAACGAGAAAATCCACTTCCAAAAATGTTTGGTGGAACAAGTATTACACTCCCATTTAACTTCCAGAGGAGAATGAAGGCTATCACATACCTAGTAAAATGATTATGAATAGTCAATAACATAAAGATATTACGGAGAAAAATGATTAAATTAATAACTCATTGATATACGCACTCAAGAGTACATTGCTTTTATAATAATCTCACGTTGCACTATACATACTCAGATATCACCGTAGCAAGTGCAGCACCATCTATTCCTAGACCAAGGAGAAATATGAAAATAGGGTCCAGTGCAGCATTCAATAAATTTCCAGTACCTAATATCCAAAATATCATTAGAAAATATTTAATCATATTCCAGCATAATGTTCAACACATGGGAAAACATTTCACACAGACCTTATCAATTGTATTGGCATGGAAAATCACAAGGAACTGATATGGTAGACAATAGTTGCAGTGGATTGCTAGTCTAAAATATAAACACTATGATAATACAAACCATCTTGATTGGGGAAAAAAGGACATTGCATAAGAATTTCCATGGTTCCTAGAAATTTACTGCCAAATATAAATCATGGTTCTAAGCTGTTCGCTTTTAAGAGGAGAGTTACTGCAGAAAGAAACCAACAAGACTTCAGAACTAAGCTTCAATTTCCATATTAATGAATATAGTTTTGGTTTTGCTAGATGGTTATGTGAAAATCCTCTCCTATCCTGATGCTCATACGCCCTGTTTAAACTCACTTCAAAAGTATGTTTAAGTTCATAAATAGTAGGCTGACAATGTATATACAAAAGAAAATTAATATTTTCAAAGTTCACTTAATTTCTTCTTTTAAAGAAGTCTCTTTACTTATTATACTTCTTTTATTGTTCCACTAGGCATCCACATCATCAAATAGAAAAACAGAAGTTATACCCAGAATATACACAACCAGGTACACAATGCATGATAATGCACTTAGCACATTGGAATAGCTTGATGCAATCAAAATGTAATATACTAAGTTAAATTAGTACATTAGGTCCAATAGACACTGATCCAATTAACCAAAAAGTACATATACGTGCTAGTGGATACCCATGTAGGAAGTTCTGGTTCCATAAAGTTTCTTTCAATGGTATATCAACTTGACATGAAGATTTGAAACTCCGCAGCAGCATAACGTCTTATCTCAAAATCATGCAACCAATAAATAATTGATTTTTGAGACAGAAACTGATATCTAAAACAGAAATTTCAATGTTACATGGTTCACACTCAGAGGACCATGAATTCAAGATTCAACATCAAACTATACAATACAGCTATGATACAAAACTAAAACATTCTGCATACCTACAGCATATAACGGCGTCTTTGTATCCATGAATCCACGAAATGTGCCTTGCGCTGCAAGTGCTATCACCACTGGTGGAGCACCAAATGCTCGCAACTGAAGGAACTGCTCAGATGGAATGCGCATAGGAGAATCCTAAGTAGAGCATAGAAATAAGGATCAATATTCAACAAAACATCAAAACAATGATCATGTATGCTACATTAATGCCCTCATAACCATTATAAGTTGCATGTCTGACCAGTAATCAAAACTATAGGCCAACAACAATGCCTAATTAACAATAGGAAATCAGGTTGATCATCTATTTTAAACAGCAAAGGGATGGAATACTCAAAGGAAACAAACACAAAAATTTCAACCAAAACAAATCTGTCCAAGGGAAATGTCTTTTGCTGAAGTCCGACCATATAGCAGTTCAGAAGAAAGAAAAAAAAAGAAATTGGTTCTTATTATATTGTTATGAATGTTAGACATGTAACTAGACACTCTTGTACAGAAAACCTTCTAGCAAAAAAAGAAGTTTTTATCTGACTCATAGTGACAGCAATTAGGATAACACTTAAGAACAAGATACCATAAAACAAAATTTATAAACTTTCCACATAGCTATCCACTTGATTTAACATGCCAAAGAAAAAACATAGTGATATGAAATTTAGGGATTAATTTGCACTATTTGCTTACTAATTATGCACAAAGTCTATGTCCAACCAATTCATCAAGGACGAAAGGGCACTAGCAAGAAGTGAACATGATTAGCTTAGTTTGACGTACTACTGGTACACCCATGAAATTCAGCAATGACCCTGAGCCCAAAGACAATGCTATTGCTTCCATTATTCCAATGCCAGCAGCCAAAGCTAAGGAGGTTGATACTGCAGGGAGATACTTCTTTCCACCCATCAGTCCCTGTGATTCAAAACCTTTGTTCTCTATATAATAAAGAGAATCTGAGATTAGTATTTATTTCTTATTTGAGACAAATATAAACTCAAGATCCAGCTGATACACCTTCTGTTTTATTATCCAACGCTTGCTGTTCAGCAACAAAAGACGTAGTGACATTAAGAAGAGGAATGTTAAACAACTTGGAGACTAGATTGAAGAGTGAAACCGATACACCAATTGCAGCCAATTCAACTGACCCTGTTGAAGTTATGAACAAAATTGATGAAAATTTTGAATTTAGTCATTTGCTAATTGGGATATGAAAGTCCGTATGCAGAAGTTGAAACATTGGATCAAATTGATTCCAATAGAAGCTACAATACAAAATAATATACTACACTATATACTATTTGTTTCAAGTTCACCCCACAATATATATCAAATTATGGTTCAAAGAAAAAAGTGAATTTAGTTGATTGCAAGAAGCAAGCAATCAACTGGGAGAAATATAAAGCAGCCTCAAGAAAGAGGGAAAATAGTCTTGTCACGTCGAATCAGATTGATCTCACCACTCCTATCTTTTGGCAGCTCATTTTTGTTGATTGAAGTGACAACCTCTATTACAAAAGGGTCAATTATTTGAATTTCATAATAATGTAAGCCCACAACTGCCATATCCAAAGTCAAAGAAAATCACTAAGAAAACAACATGTAATTAGCATATGAAAAACACTACAGGCACACCCTCTGCCACACCTCCGGTCACACCCCCTCTCCCTCTACAGTGCAGGGGTCCCACCTAAGATTTTTTTTAAAAATCTCAGGTGGGACCCCTGCACTGTAGAGGGAGAGGGGGTGTGACCGGATGTGTGGCAGAGGGTGTGCCTGTAGCGTCACCCTTAGCATATTTACACTTTGTTTCTGAAGACAGAGGTTTAATGCTACAATGCATTTCCAACTACATGTACCTACAACAAAGATAGTTCGATGTGCACTATACTTTTCGCTCATTGTTGTTATGATTTTGACGAGAAAATACAATCAAGTTGAACTTAATCCGTGAAAATTTTGTCATTTTGCAACAAATTTGCTACAAAGAAAACAGCCACTCTATATAAAAAACAAAATTTCAAAAATTATTACATCACCAAATCCCCCCCCCCCCCCCCCCCCAAAAAAAAAAAAAAAAAAAAAAAACATACCCAAATGCACCAACGAACGCCGTATCCACAAGAGAAGCAATGGGATCCGCCGCAAGAGCCAAAACAGCCGGCAATGCTATGTACAGTATCTCCACACTGATAGCATCAACCCTAAGAAAAAAAAATCCCCATAAAAACATAATTAAATACATAACTCGCCTCAAAGTTAGGGTCTTTTTTTCTAATTCGTCATACCCAATTCGACTGAGGAGACCAGACACCGGAGTTGATTCTGGGGTTTTCAATTCGGATTCAGGTTTTTTAGGGTTTTGCTGAGAGGAGGAAGAGGAGGAGGGGCGTATTATCGGGTTCCGGGCACGGATTCGGGTTGTAGCGGGTCGGGTTGAATGTGGGGGGTGGAGGGAATTGATGAGGGGCCGGAGACAGAGAGCAGTTCCCGCCATGGCTGAAAGCCTATGGCTTGCTGTTTCTTCTCTGGGATTTTTTGAACCGTAGGATAAAAATCATTTGCTATCCATTTTATTTTATTTTATTTTATTTTTGTTTATATTTAGAAGCCCAGCCCAAATCCGGGGCATGGGCTATGGGCCATTAATTGAAAGGGACGAAAAGGTTTAAGGGCATTAATCTTAGATTAAACTAGATTATCTTATTTGCCGCATAAAACAAGTCACGAGGAAGAATCTCATAAGCAAAATAAAAGAATATATAAATACTCATGTTTGATTTATTTAAATCCGTAAAAAATTACTTAAAATTTTTAATTATCTTTTTAACCAATTAGACGAATATAAAACTATTTGATGCGTACTTTATCCAAAATTTATTCAAAAAATTACTTAAATTTTTTTTAATTATCTTTTTAACCAATAAGACGAATATAAAACTATTTGATGCATACTTTATCCAAAATTTACCCCTGTCTAAAGTATTCCGTAAAGAATTTGATCCTCTCTACAAAACTAGGATATACGTTAAAAATATTAGAAAACGCCTCTTGGACGATGATCAGATAACTTTCCATGACTTTAAAAATATTACAAGATTCCCTTTAACTTTAGGGGTTATAAGAAAACCCCCTTTAACTTTAAATTTTTATTAGAAAACCTCATAATAGTATTTACCTCGATTTTGCAAAAGAATGTTCATTCTAGTGAAAATTGCAGTTCTTACTTTTATGGGGGGTTCTCTAATAATATCTTAAAGTTATAAAAGGGGTTTACTGATAACCCCTAAGTTTAAGAGTGTTTTTTGATATTTTCAAAATTATGAGAAGTTATCGTCCAAAGTTAAGGGGTCTTTGTGATATTAAGCCTTAAAAGATCCGAGGGATGAGATAACACATTAGATTCTGAGGGTGACGCCAGCCCATACGAGACCCATTTTCATGGGAAAGCAGAAATTGAACCGTGACGTGCACGTAGTCTAATGTCCTCAAATGGTCAAACTCCCTTCTCTCTAATCAAATCAATTACTATTCTAATTTATTCCACTTCTAATGAAGCATGGGATTTGGGTTTTGGGATTAGGACCCTTTTTAGATTGATCACTCAGATGTTATTCCACTGCAAAAGATTCCATAAATAAGTTTCGTGTTGGTGATTGATCTAGTTTGATGTCACGTTTATACTTTTTATTTAGTATTTAGTTGTTTTGCATTGATTTTTGCTCCTCTATAAATTGATTTTTGATCCTCTATAAATTGTTCCTTCCTCTTGGCATAATTTAACCCCATGTATGGTTGTTTTCCGTTTTCAGGCCACTTCCTAGTAGGGGTTTTAAAAAAAAGCGAGCCCAAGGAAATATAACTATTTGTTATATCAATATGGTTGTTAAAATATATAATCAATATGATATGTTTACATATACTATTATTATGTAGTGAAATATCTAGATCCATATTCAAAATTCCCAATTATATGTTACTATAGCAACATTTTTAATCCTTATATTAATGGATTTGAGGTTAATTTTGATGATCGAGATATATAATCTTAGTTTTTCAAATATAAAGAGCATATTAATGAAACTCTCTTGTATCTAATATTCACAAATATATCAGACACACTAGTCAAAATTAGAAGGGAGCTTTTATTAATGCCAACCTAAGCTACAAGAACAAGAGCCATAGTGTAGTATTGATCCTTGTCTAAAGCTACACGCTGGTAACTAGGCTCATATTTGGCTCATATATTGAATCTTGTCAGTTCATTCATTGCAATTACAAACCTTTCTAATTTTCCATACATTGTCATCATCTCATTATTGCCAGAAGAAATAACTCACTTCTGCACTAACATGTGCTAAAAATCATGGATGATCTTTGTGAAAGGGATATTGGAATTATAAAAAAAAAAAATGGGTACCTAAATGTAAGTTGATCCAAGCTTTAACAAATAAAGTGGAGGAGTGCCATCAAAATAATAACATATAGCAAACAACTATGAATTCATTCACCACGGTTTCATAGCGTAAAGCTCACTTTTCTAATTTGAGTTTAAGTAATCACATATTAAACAACGAGCAATTGTGATTAAAGAAAAACGTTCCATTATCTAACAAGTGAGAAGCCGCCGGATCCAATACATAATAATACTTCTGTTTGCAAAAGTCTAGTAAATTTTTGGGTGGTATAAGTTAGAAATTCAAAAACCAAGAAGCATATTAGAAAAGGTATCAAAACAAATATAAAAGAGCACGTTACTATGATATATGATTTAATTTCATTAAAAAAGAGCTCTCATTGGCAGTTCAATAAGATACATAATCAGTTTTCTATTTAATTTTATTTCTTAAATTACTGTTCAGTACGTAATAAAAGAAAAATAGGTTTACAATGATACTATATAGCAATCCATTGATTCCTATAACCAATTAAAAAATGAGAAATAAAAACTCTGTTTACTGCAAGTCTGCAACTTCAACTTGACTAGATATTCTCCTATAGGACCAAGTAAAAAATACATAGAAATTTATCCCAATATCGTTGTTTAAAAAAATCACAAAAAATTGTACGCGAATGAGAGAGGGAGTAGGAAGAAACCATAATGCTCAGGATAGATAGCGCCAACATACAACGCATTGAAAAAAAGTCATGCAAAACTTCATCATTCATCATCCTCGGCGCTATCCCTCCTGAGCTTTAAGGATTCTTTCATACTTTTTTCTTCTTCTTCTTCTTCTTCTTCTTCAACAAATTTGAGGAGAAAGAGAGGGGAAAGTAATTCATTCTAATTTGCACACAAGAGAAGAGGAGAGGAGAAAGATAAGCAAGGGCCCAAGCCAAGAGGGTTAATTTATAGGAGAGCCAACATGAGAGAACAAATTTCTACTGTTTTCTAGGGACCCCTGAAGTATATTAACAGTGCAGGAGGTAGTAGGTAGAAATTACCTGCAATGCCATTATGGGATTCTGGAGTTTTATGTAAGAGAGTGGGTGGAACTTTTAAGTTCGCACCAATCATTTTCGGCTGCATTACTGTGAATACGCAGCAGAGCAGATGCCTTTTTCTGAGTGTGTTCTTCATTTAATTCCTCTGATAAATTTTAGCTGGATTTTGTCAGATCATGTTTGATCAGATTTTAAGATTGTGGGCTGTAAGCGTCAGTGAGAGGGTCTGGGAGACTTAAATGAAGGGTAGCTGGCTGATAGAGATTTGCAAGTTTAGTTTAGTTTAATTATGAGCCAACTAAGGACATAGCATAGCTTACTATATTATATATACTAATGTGATTGTATCTTAGAAGATAGCTCGATGTGCTTACATTAGAATAAGGCCATTCAATTCAACTCAACCAGCGCTGTGGCTTAGAACTTTCATCTTATCAGTGTCTACATAACATTACAGTCGAAACATGCATTTTTGCAAATCCTTTTCCATTGTTATAATTCACATTCTTACCTTAATTATATTTTAGACGCATCGTCAAGGGACACACCAATACCTCGACCAGTCATATTACATCGTAATCAATGAGCATGTTTCTTTCCCGCTAAGATGCAAATTACATTCTCCTCCTCTCCAATGGATATTCTACGTACTCATTTCTCAATAAGACTGAAGTATGGTAGGGATGTCTAATTGGGCTTCGGGTTCGGGTTGAGTTGGTGTAGCTGGCTGATAGAGATTTGCAAGTTTAGTTTAGTTTAATTATGAGCCAACTAAGGACATAGCATAGCTTACTATATTATATATACTAATGTGATTGTATCTTAGAAGATAGCTCGATGTGCTTACATTAGAATAAGGCCATTCAATTCAACTCAACCAGCGCTGTGGCTTAGAACTTTCATCTTATCAGTGTCTACATAACATTACAGTCGAAACATGCATTTTTGCAAATCCTTTTCCATTGTTATAATTCACATTCTTACCTTAATTATATTTTAGACGCATCGTCAAGGGACACACCAATACCTCGACCAGTCATATTACATCGTAATCAATGAGCATGTTTCTTTCCCGCTAAGATGCAAATTACATTCTCCTCCTCTCCAATGGATATTCTACGTACTCATTTCTCAATAAGACTGAAGTATGGTAGGGATGTCTAATTGGGCTTCGGGTTCGGGTTGAGTTGGTGTAGCTGGCTGATAGAGATTTGCAAGTTTAGTTTAGTTTAATTATGAGCCAACTAAGGACATAGCATAGCTTATATATATATATATATATATATATATATAATTATATTATGATATGGTTATTAATGTATACTTGTATATATTTTTAAGTGTATATGGTATTTTTGAGGAAAATGATTGTAGCTTCATTGTTCTAAGAGTATATAGTTGTACATACCTAGGTACACAAATATGTATGTATGTACACACACACATATATAGACACACACACACATACTTGCAAGTATACAAGTATATTACATTATATTCTTATATATATTCTTACCATGATATAGAGACTAAGATATAATTATATATAATATAGTTATAAGTATACTTATATGTGTATAATATAGACTTATAGTTATGTACTATATAAGTTATATAAGTATAGTATATAACTTTACTTAAATAAGTATAATATAAATATGCAACAAATACATATATAACTATATAATACGTATTTATAAGTAAGCAATATATACTTATGTGATTATCCCTCTCTCACTATCTCTCTCAAGTTATAACTTAAAAGTATACACAATATATTTACATTATATATATATATATATAATATATATATATATTATATATATTATATATATATATATATATATATATAATACATAGCTATATACTAATATGTAAGTATATACTAATACATACTTAATATAAATATAATAAAATTAATCTAATTTTTAGCAATTTTTTGTGAAAATATAAAAAAAAATCCGGGCTGGCCCAGAGCCCGGCCCGGTTTGGGCCGAACCGGACCCAGGCCTGGCCTGGGCACCCTAGGTCCAGGTCTGGGCTAGGCATTTTGCCCGGTCAGGACCCGTAAATCCAAACCAAGCCGGGCCGAGCCGGCCCATTTGGACAGACCTGAATATGAGAAACCTAGCATAGACTTTATATTCCAAGATAAGTTATTGTATCACTTTTCATTGTGTGCACAACAATCAATTAGCTATGACTTCTTATATGATAAAAGGTACCTTCCACACTACTAAAATTTTAGAACTCTGACAATAGTTAAATGTTATATTTTTATATTCTAATATATTCTCACACGTTAAGTGTGCTCTTCATGGCCTGAACAGTGCTCTTCATGGCCTGAACATGATCTCACCTAATTGTACAAATTTTTTTCTGCTTTGAATCCCTGACAGTCCTGACTTAAAACTTTGTTAGTGCAAATCACCTAAATTTCAACAACCCTAACCACGCTACGTTGTCAAATGAATCGACACAATTAATGTTACCTGTACTAATACAAAGATGATAAAAAATACGGTTTTTCTATAGAGTGCCCTTGGGCACTCTATAAGAGAGGAGAGAGATAGAGAGAAATGAATGAGGAGGGGGGCCCTCTGATTTGCATTGGGATCATCTCTTTCATTGGTTCTATCTAATACCTAGACCTTCAATCACAAGTAGCTGAAATAGATGGCTCCGAGTTCAATACAATCCGATGCAAATACCCTGAGGTTTGCTCTACCTAGGGGAGGCAGTGCCTTAGATTGCAGTGAAGACTAACAAAATTCCCTGCCCCCCTGAAGACTAACAAAACCCTGACCCTAACCCTTGATATCATATATTATAGGATAATAATTATTATTAATTAGTCCTTAAGTTTGGTCATTTATTAGAAAACTCTTCACCATTGCCTTTTTATTGGGGAAAAAAAGCCCCCATAAAAACTTTTAACCATGGTCATTTAGGATAAAAACTCATTGCCATTTTGCTTCCAATATTTCATCGAGCGTGTATTGTGCATGATTTGATTTAAGTTATTTACTCTGAGATATATTTTCTTTTTTTAGGGGAAAAAATAGTGGAGATGCAAGGTACTATTGATCCCAGATAAAGGTTTCTACTATTCCATTGAGCTACATCCGCAATTAATTCTTTGAGCTAAAATTAACAAGATCTCTTATTATAATAGAAAACATCTATAGTAGATAATGAACAAAAACATGGAAAGTAACAAACCTTGCAAGAATGAGCAAACTTAAAAACAAAGTTACCAACAACAATCATTTTCTCATATGACAAAAGACAAACTAAATAATTCACCAAATTGAAACTAAAATCAAAAGGTCTTAAGAGATTAGCTTCATTGTTTGACTAATTAACTTCCTCATTACCAAAATTCGTCGTACATCAGGTTTGATGTGGATGGAGGCGAGAGGAGCTTATGTAATACTTTAGAAAGAAGTAAAACATTGACGAGGGTATTTGAGAAGAAAAGTCAAAAAACATGCATTGCATATATGTTGTTTTAAATGGAACTAATTAACAATTTCAAGCAAAGGGTTTCTTTATTGAAAAAAACAGTTTTTTTTTTTACAAGAAATCACTTTAAAGATGGGATCATTTCACAGAATCTACTTTCATTCTCAATTTTTACGTAAACCACATTTGAAGTACGTTTTTGTTTTAATCAATTACCTCTCAATCAAAATTTTCACTAAAAACCTAACAATACCCTTAAAAAACTCGCAATCAAAACATGCGACTCTCTTTATTAACGTTTAGGTCTAGTTAGGATACGAATAACATACTTTAAATGTTCATTTTTAAGGTTATTTTGTTTTTTAGTGAAGATTTAGCTATGAGGTGGTTGATTGGAACAAAACTCACCTTAAAGATGGATTATGAATAAATTAAAAATAAAAAGTGATTTCTGTGAAATGACCGTACGTATGTTTAAGATGATCGATTTTCCAGGGAAACCCCCCCCAAAAAAGCAATGGTATGAGATTTCGTCAAACTTGAAAGGGTTTCCAAAATGATTACCTTTTATCACATGTCCAAAAGTTCTATCATCTATGTAGAAAATCATGTAGAAACTCTCTATCAATTTTAAGCTATCATATAATAGGAAAAAAAAACCAGCTCAAAGTGATTATCATATATCGTATATCCAATAATATATATTGTTGTTGTATGTTAGAATATAAAATTATAATTCACGGCTCCTCGTTATGATGTGAGAGCAATAGGGATTCAAATTCCACGAGCTAAGAATTTAATTTAACTTTTTTTTAAGAGAAAACAGCTATATATGGCTATGATTAGTTCTTGTATTTAATTTTCTTCGGAAATGGGTCCTCATTCTCGTGCCTAACCCGGCACTGGCTCTCCGTACCATCACCAATATCGGAATCGATGCAGGTTTTTCTCATTGAATTATAGTAGCTGCGTTCGCGTTGCTTTGAAGCCATGTTGCTTGAATCCTGACACCCGAAACTAATGTCATGTCCCCTCGAAAATGAAGGAGCTTCTCCATAATTGTTTGGACTCTAACGCACGGCTTCGAATATTTTAAAAAATTATTTTTCTGTGGGTGTTTTTTAAGAGGGTTGATTCTGAGACCTGATGTGCTGGCACAAGCTTTTATATCATACAACTAGATACGATGAATAATTCGAAACCTTGTAGCTACTATTAGAAATTAATTATATCATAATTTTGTAATAATAACGATTAGAAGTTCCAAGACAATTATAAGTAGCATAAGTTCATTATCTTTTTTATTTATAAATTCACAATTTTGTAGAACATAACCAATCAAAGTTCATGATATTTAATTCTTGGATAGTCTTTTTATTGTGGCATGTTTCTATAGATTTAAGAAAATATACGGGTGTGTGTGTATATATATATAGAGAGAGATATTAATGAGTATCCTTGTCACACGAAGAGATTTCCCTTCTTGTCGTCTATGTGGCTATGTGACACAATCCCCGCCATCCTCATAAAGTAAGCACAAATCCCCACCAACTGATCACACACTCTCTCCTACTTTATGTGGATGGTGGGGATTGTGCCACATAGGCGTCAAGAAGAAAATCCCCTCTTATGACAAGGATACCCATTAATCTCATATATATAAATATATAACTCACAACTCCTAATATGGTTGTTCAGATTAAACTGGATATATCATGAATGAAATAAGATAATCCCATCATTGAATACTTGACAGATTCTCATACATAAGGAGAAAAGTTTAAGGTGCCTTTTCAGGTAGAAGGTCACCATAATAGAAGGCAGTAGTGGTAATTTGTAGATTACAAATCTTAGGAGCGAAGTGATTTTAACTATAAAATAGTATAACTAAAATTTCCAAACTAACTTTTCGGCCCTCTACATTAATCTGAAAAGGTTAAGAGGTAACAATATAGCTCCCCGTCCTGGATTCGACTCCTTGTTAAAAAAAGAAAAGAAAAGAAAAGAAAAGAAAAAAACTATGGGGTCCTCTCGCGTGGATTGGTTGCCAATATTGAATAGAGCCCTGCTATTTGGCTCGCGCGAGTTGCAACTCGCGTGAGACAAAACAGGGGGGTGGGACCCACAGCTGTGGGTCCCACCCCCCTGTTTTGTCTCACGCGAGTTGCAACTCGCGCGAGCCAAATGTTATTTTCGTATTGAATACTATTTGGGCTAATCATTGTGTCTAAACGTTAGGACCCAATCTACTTATATTAATCATAGGCTCTATCAGCTGGATTGGCCCAGCCCATTTTCTATTCAATGCCAACTCCAAGCAATAAAGAGGTGTTTGTTTGCATGCAAATAAAAAATGAAAGTGAGAAAGTTATTTTTATTTAACAATATAGATGTTTGTTTGCATGTAAGTGCTTATAAAAGTGAGGTATAAGAAAGTTATCACATATGATTTAATATAATTTTGACTTTCCCTAAAAAAATAGTGAAGTCACATGAAAGCGACAAAAAAGATAACAAATTTAGTTAAATAATTTTAATTATACTTTCTAATTAATCTCATTTTACCACGTCATCTTCACATTGCACTTTCGATAATAATTTAATTTTTTAAACAAACACTGTATTTCACTTGCGTGCTAACATGAGATATAAAAATCATTTGTAAAAAAAATAACTTACATATTTTAAATTCACTTTTAAATTGCCAAACACCCTCTAAATTGTAGTATAGTCGTGTACGCGGCGGCGGTAACCTCACCGCACTGGACTCATCTCAAACACTTGGCCAACAACGGCTCCTGAACTCTGCTAACAACTCCAGGCCTCTCAAAATTCTCCGAAAAAGCAAGTACAACACAATCAAAGTACAAATCTTTTTAAAAGATTGGAGTTCTCAATAGCCATTGAAAAAACAAAACACACAAAAAAAAAATGGCTTCTTTTCCCATCAATTCTCTACCCATTTCAGCTTCTCAACCTCGCAAGCTCTCGGAGCCCTCTCATTCCAATGGTGGGCTGAAGCCCATAACAGTTACTGGCAATCCCCCGACCTTTGTTTCTGCACCTGGACGCAGGATTGTTGCTGGTAATTTTCGTTCAAAATAAAATTATCTTTCTTTTTTTCAATTTAAGATGTTTATTTAGGTGTTTGATGGTTAATACTGATATATACCCAGATGATAATCTGGGCTGATTATGCTCTATGTGCATGATTTGATGTTGTTTGATGAATGCCCAAGTCCGGTTTTGTTAATTTTCGGGAATTAATGCTTTGACTGTGAAGCTTAACCCTGTATCTCAATTGGCACACCACTTGTATGCTTGAATGAACGAGAGACACAATCTTAAGACGAAGTATAAGAAAGACTCTGTTATTTTTTTATTTTAATTTTAATTTTTTTGGGAATTTTCCGATTCGGATGCACTTATTCTAGCAACAACCCAAGTTCCTCTTGCATCTGTTTCCTAATACAGGACTTGATTTTTCACATGCTATATTTCATCTATTGATATGTGATTTGTAGTTGGTGATCTGCATGGAGACATCTCACAAGCAAGGTCTGCACTAGAAATAGCGGGAGTTTTGAGCTCAGACGGTCACGATCTGTGGACTGGTGGAGAAACGGTTAGGCAGTATTTAATTTCTTGATGAATCTTATATTCATTTGCACCATTAAACTTTTAACTCATGGATGCATGAAAATTATAAAGTACCAAGGGCCGAGAAAAGTGATCTAGTATTTCATTATAAACTATTCTGTTTTTTGGAGTTTTCGGTAGTTGCAGCAATAATCTGACAAGAGCGACATATATAGGATTTACATGAAGCATATATGAAGCTACATTAGATAATCGAGAGTCTCCCTACCATGCTCTTTCAGGGATCAACTTTCTTAATTCATTAATGTAATTGTTTCTTAGGTCCTCACTTCTTATATCCATATTTGCTTATATACACTTAGAAGAGCAACCGCCCGTATCTCCACAATCTATTCTTTCAAGTCCATAATGCTGAAATATTCTTTAACACTTTGTTTAGTGTCTTAGTAGATGAGAGAACACTCTGCCCATTAATGGAAATCAGAAAAGATATTCCCTGATATTATAGCTTATTAGCCGTGTAGTTGATAATGATCCTCCTTTGTGTTAGAGGGTAACTGCCTGATACCCTTGATCTTCTTTAAACTTTTGATTTCTCTTTCAGGTATGATACTATGATTTCTAAGATCTCTTTATATTACCACATGCTGACGCGCATCATGTATGCTTGGTTCTTGCAATTAATTCATTTGTACAGACACTGAAACCTCACTTGATGTTACAGTGGTAAAATATTTTTTACAAAATAAACTTGCAAAATCCTGTTCCTGAAACCAATTCTCAAGTACGCAGAATAACTAACTTTTTATTTTTTAGGTGTTAGTTCAACTTGGAGATATTCTTGATCGAGGTGAAGATGAAATAGCTATCTTGTCTCTATTACGCTCACTAAATATTCAGGCAGAATCTAGTGGTGGTGCAGTCTTTCAGGTTCGGTTATTGCTTCTCCTTTTCTTATACATGTTTAACCATGTTTCAACTAAGTTCAATAGTTTTGGAATATCATAGACTGAACTTTGGATATCCCTAAATACATTTTTGAGCATTATGTTGAAGGTAAATGGGAACCATGAAACGATGAATGTAGAAGGTGATTTTAGATATGTTGATCCTGGGTCGTTCGATGAGTGTATAGACTTCCTTGAGTATCTACAAGGATATGAAAATTGGGAAGAGGCCTTTGTTGGATGGATTAGTGTTGCTGAAAGGTATAAAGAAGATCGAAGAATGTCCCAAAGTCCTTGGGGTCCTTGGAATTTAAAGAAGGTACTCATCTATTCTTTTCATTGTAGATATTCTTGAATCTTTATAACTGGTATTTGTGCTCATTTTTCATGACTGTTTTCAAAGGACACAGCAATTTGCTACGATGTAGCAATTGCTACAGTATCAAAAAGGTAAATGATAATATCCAGTTGTTTTTAATTGTAATGCTGACAGATTTGTGAAAATATTAGGACAGAGGCAGAAGGAGATTGTAGCTAGATCATCACTCTTTAGGCCTGGTGGTCCAATGGCTTGTGAGTTGGCACGCCATGGTGTAATTCTGAAAGTTGGAGATTGGATATTTTGTCATGGTGGCCTTCTTCCTCATCATGGTAAAGTTTAAAATTCATTTCTGCCAACTTGATAGGTGAATGAAAAGCTAATTGCCAACCACAGATTTATTATGAAAAGCATAACTTTTGAATAATGAAGTCTGGTGGTATCTCTGCAGTTGCATATGGTATTGAAAGAATGAACAGAGAGGTTTCATGTTGGATGCGAGGAGTCAATGACGATAACGATATTCCTGAAATTCCTTTCATAGCTACTAGAGGTTATGATAGTGTAGTTTGGAATCGTCTTTACTCAAAGGATTCAGCAAATGTAGGCTCTCCATCATGGAAGGTAATTAGCCCTCATTGTATGCCAAGTAATTGAAAGGACCTAAAGGTTTAATTATTCATTCTGATAAGCGAAGTTTATTCTCAGATATCTTCCATTGCTGAAAAGACACTACAATCTGTAGGGGCCAAGGGTATGGTACTAGGTCATACTCCACAGCTTAATGGTGCAAATTGGTATTTTTCTTGTACAAATTTTCAAAGTGAACCTTCTTAAATGCAAGACCATTTGGAGGCTCATCCTGAAATTTCTAATGGACTGCAGTAAGTATAATGAGAAGATATGGTGTATTGATGTCGGCATGTCAAGTGGAGTGCTTAACTCAAGAGCTGAGGTAAAATGAAGCTTAAAATAACTTTTCAGCATTCTACTTTAAGTTTGGTCACATGTTGTGATTTGGATCATATTGTGGACTGGATTAAATTGAGCATGGAAATGTGCTGAATTTTATTATTACCAAATTGCACTCAAACAAAATACCGTAAATATTAGATAGGAATCATGTCTTGGGAGTCCAGTAGTTTAACTACCTCATTGATTAAAAGCTACACAATTGTCGCTGAAAGTTTTACAAATGTGGTGACAGTTGTTATATAGTCATTGTATCAGCCGAACTTTTATCATTTCACTGAAATGCTAGATAACTCCTTTCTGTTATTGACTAGGTTCTGGAGATAATAGATAATAAAGCAAGAGTCTTGAGGACTGGAGATGATTCGTCAGGTGAATTAGAAGTTGCAGACTACTTGTAATGATCAAAAGGTAAGAAAATCTTCAAAGTTGCGGACTAGTAGTTTTGGTGGACTGAAGGCCTAAGCTTAGAAGTCCACTCTGCAGAAATTTTACAGGAACTATCTTTTAACCAAGTTCAACTTGAGATTTATATATAGATATATGCATCATATATAAAGGAAACAAAAAATAAGTCTCAGTAATCAGTGATCAGTGAGAGGAATTCTTACACCCAAAGAAAAGTGTATCAACTATACAGTGCTGGACCAATATACAGCAGATTCATTTGTAAAGTTATCATGTATACAAATAATTATTATACAAAAAGGGTGTGCTGTTTATAGGTTCTGTAGTTTTGTTGCCTCAGGAATAATTAGTACTATATATTAAGCACTTCCATGCCTGTGCAGAAGCATTATCCTAAATATTACTGAAATTTCTAGGACAAAAACTATCCTGCAGTTTCCTAAATAATCCCTATTGTTTTTTTTAAATATTATAAAATAGTTTATGATAATGTTTATTTGAGATGAGTAGAATCCTTAATATTGACTATAAGACGATGAAGATATAAGAGCACAATATCACAATGGAAAAAAATGCTTGATTTTGAGAACAAAAGAATTGTTTCTTTTGCTATTTGGATAAAATATAAGCAGATAGGAGTTCATTCCATACATCAGGAACACCAGGAAGACACCAATGTATACAATCAGCATATCTACTAGGGTTTGCTAGCTGCTCTTTGGTTAGAGGCTCCCACTGCTTCCTGTAAACTGATGGGTGACCATCTTTTCTGTACTCTGAGAGCTGAGTAATATTGAGTATTTGTACATTAACTCCTCTCTTGCTTAGCCCTTCAATTGTTGATTCCACTACTTGCATCATTTTGTGATCTGATCCTCTACCTGAATAGTTTTCCTTTGTGATTGGCTCGGTTTCGTTGTAGCAGTTTAAGCCGCTGTTGATTCCCCATTCTTCACCCCTGCAGAAATTTATGCTTTTTTAGAAAACACAAAATTTTTTGATATCATTGGTGATTACTATAGGACTTTGAAACAACTTTACCCAAGATAGTTTCATATTCATTATATGTCATATTTATTACAACATAGACATATAGACATACATGTGCAGACATGCGCAAAGAAACCCTGATAACTACAAGTTTTATGATGATTAGAAAACTGGAGCATATACTTATCTTTTTTGACTTGAGACCTTTCCATGTTTAGGTGATGATCAAAAAATAAATTATCAGAGAGTTACTCAAGGAGATTGTTAAGGCCAAAAGTATTAAAATAAGTTGTTTTGTAGAATTCATATATAGGAAGAAAAGGAACAATAGCGAGACACGACAACAATGTTAGCAAACATCATTAATTAGATCAATAGATACTCGGCTAATGCTATATTTTGACAAACTGTGTTGTTTTTGAAATATTTCAGGATTGAAATTCTCAGAGAATAAAATAGTCGTTCAGGAACATTCAATCCCATAATTGCATAAGTTCACTACTTCATATTAGACCATAGCAGATTTTTTTTTCAAGTTCATTTTTTAGTGTTTGATTTGTCTGATATCATGTTCGATAACCACTATACGAAAGCTTGAGCTTCTGATTGTAGCTAAATCAAGTTTCATGGTTTGGATGATAAATTTGATCACACTTACCAGAAATGAGTAGGAGACATGCTCATGAAAAATAGTTGGGTCTTTAGAGGATCCACATTGAATTCGAGCCAATCTGACCATGTCTTCAATGCAAGCTCATAACTACGATGTATCTCAATTTCTTTGTAGATGCCATCCTTGTCCTCAAATGAACCAAACCTGAAAAAAAATTAAATCATGGATAGATGTTTTATTATAAGAACAAATTTAAGCGACAATAAAAACAGATATTCACAGTAGTTTTCAAGTCTTAAGATCATTGAGGCCATGTTTGGATTGAGTATTAATATAAATTAATAAGCCTTTATCCCTTAACACGAAATAGTGAGGTATTTGGTTCCAAATTTTAAAGGGCATTAGGTTGGACTAATTAACCTTTAAAATAGCTCATAGATTACAGACTAAACAAAGGAGGGGGAGTCGATGTTATTGTAATCCTGGTACTATTTTTCAATTGGGATTAGACCCAATATGACCACATTACCCCTTAACCTTCCCCATCCAAGATTTCTTTGCATTGGATATTGAGTGCTTTGTGCAATTTTCAAAATTCGATGACACTGAATGCTCTCTGCAATATTCAGGGGGAAAAAAACGAAGGGATCATTTTACAGTTTGAACCTATTCTACAGTATGAATGTGAAGCCCCATCTTTTTCGTTGCATCTGAAGCTATAAGCACTTCTAACTGCATGCACTACATATGTTATGTGTTCCACATTAAATAATACATAATATGTTTTCCCTCTAGATTACTTCACTTGTTTCATCATTAAGAAGTTATAATTCACTCTTGTTAGGAAGAAGGGCATTTTTGACATTTACTATTATTTTGTAATCCTGTACCCCTTCATGATGATAAACTTCCAAGCACACTATAGGTATTAGAGGTATTAATAATACATTGAGCCAAATAAATTATTAAAAATTTAACTCAGTATAGTCTCCTGGCGATTATTATATACTAGGACTATAGTCAGTTAAATTAATCTCGAGATAAAACAAGTCCAAGTCCGAACATGACCTTAGAACAATCAAATTTAGGTGTTATCGTGTTAGATGAAACAAATATGCTCAACTGAAATTATCTTAGATCAAATAACGAAAACAGAGAACATGGATCATTTTATTACTGTAGAAGGTACTTACAAGACCTTCATCTTATCTCTCCTCCACCAAAGATAAGAGTTGAAGACCAAGATATCAGCACCCATCCAGTATCTTGCATGTTTCTCAATAGACTGTGCCCTCACAATCCTATCAGGTATCCGATGGTGTACTGGATCATCAGAGTTCGATTCGACTAGCAATGGGGACCAATAGAATTCTATTGATGCGTTATATTCCTGGATATGAAATAGTCAGTTACAATTATATAAGTTGTAAAGAATCTGAATTAAAACAGCGGAAAGGAATTAAACCTTGGCTTAAAAGGACATGAGTGATCCTTTAGATTCCATGGATTTGTGAGGAATGGATATGACATAAATTGCAAATAATCTGAATTAAAATAGTGTAAATAATCTGAATTAAACTAGCGAAAAGGAATTAAACCTTGGCTTTAAAGGACATGAGTGATCCTTTAGATTCCATGGATTTGTGAGGAATGGATATGACTGAATCTAGGAGACAAACCATTGAAATCCATTGATTTCTGTTTAGAGAGTCTCCAACAAATGTGAGCCTCTTACCCCTAAGCCTCTCTAATAATCTTTTGGCATCGAACCTGTTCAATTCAAATGATCGCTGTATTAGTTGGAAATAAATTTGCAGTTCATTTTCTATGTTTCACATCATATGGATTTTGCATCACATAGTCTGTGCACTTTTATAATTTGTTCATAATTTGTTATGTTACATGAAGGTGTAGGTACCTGTCAATCTGTATTGAGCTTCAATTTAGAAGATATTGGTTTTAACTAAGTACTATGGGAATTTCTCTGTTCTACTAAGAATATGTACAATGAATAAAAGGATATCAATCTCGACATATCCAATGGATTATAAACGGATCTGCATTGTGTATTTTCTTCTTTTCATTAGTATTAATGAGCTCATTTTGCATATTCAGGATGAATTAGTCAAAAGAAAACTATTCTAATGCAAACAATGTAGAAAAACTCTTTAGAATCTAAAAGATTAAGAATTAGCATGAAAACAATTCTGGAAATATGCTGAATTTAACTCTAGGTAAACTACGATGAACATAAGGTAATAGTAAAAGTGATTACTTTGACAGCTGGATTTCTCAGGACAAGAACCCGTTTACTATAATCATAAACACGCTTATTTGAAACATCACTATTGTATGTAGGCGAAAAAGGCTCCTAATGGTGCCACCCTTTTAAACTCATATCTAAGAATGCACCTTCAAAACTACGTTATATATAATTAATTTACTTGATCCACTCTATTCATTTTGATCTATATGCTTTGAATGATATACAAACAAAAAACCAGGCATATTGAGTTATAATACAACTAAAAACGCAATGAAAAATATTTGTTAGTAGTATTGAAACATCATAAATTTTATTTTATAAATGTTTTGAGATATTTAGATAATGATAAATGCAGTGGATCATTCATTGGACTAGTCTTATTCGTGCATCAATAGGTGCATTTTTATATTGTATCTAAGGTGGCATCTTAGGAACCTTTATGTATAATTATAAAAAATGCAAACAATCAACTACATAGAAACTTCTCATACCTTGGAAGATTGCATCCATGAGGCTGCCACCTCCAATTCTGATACCTGAAATTCTTCCTCCCAAACTTCTCACAAGCCGATTGATCTGACATGAACGAGCATTTCTTCTCCGAGTACAAAGGGTATGTATTATTATCATACACCCATTTTCCTTCAAACAAGTTACAGCTCTCTTCAGAGTTCTTTACAGCAACTGCTGAGGATTCTTCAAGCCAAAACCTTGCATTCTCAGCAGTGAGAGTGATTGCTGCGATGGTGACGAAGGCCATGACCATGGCCACAAAGTAATTAAACTGGTTTCTGAGGTTCCATTTCCTTGGTGAGAGCTGAGTCTTTTTGCCCATTTCAGCTTCGAAGCCCTCCTCAGTTAGAGAAGGAGACTTCTTTTTGTTTGAACTCATGGTAGGATATTCAAAACAAGTTGAAATTGTTTAAGAGTACTAATGAAAAATTGAGGAAGTGGAGGTCGAGAGTCAATTTTGTTAAGAAATGTCTAGAATGCTCTTTAGACCTGAGGCTTTTATTGAAGTGCTGAAAATTGTCCACTTGATGTAGGATAATAAAGGGTTAGGTCAAATTTCCTAAATGTGAATGCATGGTAAATAGTATACATGTATCCTAAATGTATTTGATATTGATGTACGTATTGACTTTTTACCAAAGTATGTGCATGTTTGTCCAACTCCGTATTGTTATATTGACTTTTGATCATTATGAAAATCAAACTGTTTATGTTTATGATGAATTGAATGAGGATTTAGGTTGTTCATTAGTCAACGTAGTCATGCACAGAAGTGGATGAACAGAGAGAAAAGCTAATGGCAGTTGGGAAATCATTGTTAAAAAGAGGGCAAGTTTGTAATTTTACTACAACAAGTTGTGGTTTTATTTACAATATATGTATAGTAGGTAGGGGTTGTTGAATCTCTTGGTAGACCAATAGACTTAGTTTTTGTCCCCGTCACTTGTTTCCTGTACAAAGTATGAGCTACGAACTGAGGAATAAGAAATGGAGGAGTTAAGCTGTTGATGTAATAATATTAACTAACTTATTATGCGTCTACTCTACTAATCCATTTGTGTGTATTTTAATTCTTTCCTTAATAGGTCTTAACCCCAGTTCATAATGAAACAGTGAAAGAGTTAGGTATTACAGGAAAAATGGAATCATAATTTTAATGGAAAACTAAATAAAAAAAAGCACTTTATAATCTGTAGGAATCCCAAAATTTAAAAAAGAGATTTTATATTCTTCACTTTTTTTTGATGTAATTATCAATTTTAGTATATTACACATGCTTACATGAAAGCAGAAATAATTACATACGCTGGAGTTACATTTTTTTGTATGTCTAAGGTAATTTTGTATAAATTGAAACAGAGTCTATCACTTTTGATATAATGGATTTTGTACAAATACTAGAAATTTTAAGGAATTTACTGTAAGGAATTTTGTGTAATTTCCTACATTATAAGAAAATAAAGTATTTACTGTAATTTATCCCGACTTTGATAAGGTCAATGCACATTGGGAAATCTTGGAATTTAAAGTATCACGAATCTTCTGTAAACTAAAATGGTACTTTAAGGATAATCAAAATACCTACTTAATAAACAATTGAAGAAAAGTTGAGACTTTATGGTTACACATCAGGATGGTTCAACCAAAGCTTAGCTCGACTAGTTGGTAGCCTTCTACATCTGGTGTAGAAAGAAAATGCCAAATATCTGTTATCCAGCTCCTATCCTAGCTGGACCTATGGTTGTTGCTGAATTTTAGTTTTTTTTTTTTTTTTTTTTTTTTTAGCTGAATTTTAGTTTTTTTTTTTTTTTTTTGCTTTTGGATTAATCAAACAGTTGAGTACCTGTCTTTTGATTTTCATGTGATATTCTTTTTTTTAGTGCCTTGTTTGACAGAATGTTTGTCTCTTTCTTGTTAAGGAGAGTAAAATTGCTTAAGTAGTTTTAGGATTATAATTCAGGTTCTTCTCCTGAGAATTCTTCTGACTCACAACCCTATTCAGCGGGGTTACGGAGACCTCACCCTAAAATCTATCCAAAATCAGTCGTCTAACCTAACTCTCCATAACGAGTAACGCCTAGCATTAGCTAGTTCCAAACCTCAATTATCACCGCCTAGAGTATGCCGTAAAAATAAGTTTGACATAAACTAGAAAAAACGTTTTAAGCATAAAATCAGAAAGATCGTACAACTCTTTTGATTAGCAAACCGTTCTTTAAAAGACTAAAGCGAAATTTGATGAAAAACGATGTAGATGTTGAGTCCAAGGGCAACTGTTCATCACATTTTATTATATTTTGTACCCTAACTATCTATTTTATTTAAATAAATATATCATTAATAACATGCTTTTCTTTTAATCTGTAGGAATTAATGAATAAGAGCTATAAAAGAACTCAAATTTCCCATTTTTAACTTTTTATTGAAGCCCGAGATAAAGCCAAGCAACCTATAGAAGCCGAAGAAACAAGGATTCAATATGAAAAGAAATCAAGTCAAAATCACATTTATGATGACTAGCCACAAAAAATGACGATATCTTCTAATCCGGAAGTCGGAATTTAACATATGATATATAAAAATCGCCTATCTCGGCGAGACGGAGTTATCCAAATTGTCCTCCTCAGAATCTTTTGAGATGTGAGCATTGGCCATGAGACAATGACGTACTTCTATCATTCAAGCCCAAATCGTTCTCTAATTCTTCATCTTCACTTGAAAAATCATATGATGTCACCTTGAAGCTCCTAATTTTCCCTTGTAGTCAATCTTATTGAGAGGGCATTCATTTCTGTAGTGTCCGAGTTTCCTAAAGATGATAAATAATTTCAGAATCTGAATTTTCATATTTAGTTTTTCTTACCTTAAAGAAACCCTGATTCTGTTTATTCTGCATAAACTTTTGCCCATTTTTTATCTTTAGGAATGATTTGAATCCTTTTACTGTCAATCCTATCTCATTCTTGTCGTCACCATCAGAGTCCGAGTTTGATTCCTTTTTCGTCTTAGATTAGGATTTTTTTTCTTTTGGACTCTAGGGATAACAATTTCTTCTTTGAATCATCTTCAAAAGTATCTTCTCTCTCTTTTAATTGAACTTTGTATATGAGAAGATTATCTACAAGATCTTCAAGAATTAGATCGGAAAAAAATTTATAATTATTCAATAGTCGTTATCTTTGGTGCCCAATCCGTAGAAAGAGAATGAAGAATTTTTTTTATAAAGCTCTTTGTTGTCATAATCTCTTCTGAAGCTTTTGATTTGTTCATAATGTCCATGAATCGTGTGAACATATCCTGAATACTCTCTGATGCCTGCATCTTAAAAATTCCTTACTTATTAACAAATACTGTAAGTTTTGCTTTTTTTACATGTGAAAGTTTCATCGTGTGTAACTTTCAAAGTTTTCTAGATTTCCTGAGCCGTAGTACAATTTGAAATAAGATCAATTTTTCAATAGTTAAGGAATAATAAAGAGCATTCATAGCTTTAGCATTTAAAGAATAAAGCTTTTTTATCTGGAGGAGTCCACTTGTCTCTAGGAGTAACAATGGTGACTTCTTCTATAACGGTAGTGGGTTCACTTACCCATTCTCTACACTACTCTAAATGACATTAATCAGTGGACAACAAAAAGAATCTCATATGT